CCCCAAAACCCCAAAACCCCAAAACCCCATAGTTCTAATATTTTGTAAAATCTATAATAAATTTCCAAAATCAATTAATACTAAAAATGCTAGGAATAGGTAAATAATCTCGTAAATTTAATTTGCTCCTTCTTGAGGAGGGAGAGCAATATATAAAAGACTTTACTGGAACTGTTCGTTTTTTTGACTTTGTTTCTGAGGAATACAGGTAACAAAAAATTGCATCCAGCTATTAATAAGCATTATAGAGAAGCAAACGCATATATACATTTTTGCTCTAGAAGTTTGATTGTTGAAATTGAAAATGATAGTCAGCAGCCTATTTTAAAGTATCTTTTTAAGTTCTTTGCTCATGAACCTTAACTGTGTACGTTTTATTAAAGTTTTTTGGATTGCAAATTTATTAACAATTATTTCGTAGTGAGTAAGCATCGTTTGCCTTTAAAGATAGTCTTGAATAAGTTGGTTGAAGTCCCCGCATCAAATATTGTTAAGCCTTACAAATATCACCAGGTTGACCAGGCTTAGAAAGAATACTATGAATTGCAGATTAATATACAGTTCTAAAGCGTCGAAACACTTTACAAATCAATATTCAAGTTGTATGAACTCTTTAAAACTAAGAACTCATTCCATTATGAACAAGACTTGGATAAAATGTTCTTTTAAAATTCAGAATTTTTCTCAAATTCCTCTTTCGACAAAACTAGAATAAAGTCTATTAGTGAAAAGACTGTGCTTCACAAGGAATTCAAAGTAAAACAAGTCATCCCTATGGTGTAAATTGAGGGTCTGCTATATCTTACAGATAAGAGAATTTACTTCCAGCCATGCCATTCAATATATAGTAAGCCTGTCCTAAACTATAAAGTTAAAGATATAATTGAATTATTCGTCCGCAGATATAAACTGCTCAATATCGGTCTAGAAATACTAACAAACAAAAATAAGAGTCTTTACGTAATATTCTCAAATGTTGAGGAGAGAGATGTGTTTTATCAAGCCTTAAGAAAGATGGTTAGTGATTCTTGTGTCACAACTGAGCGATCAGTTTTAGATTATACATAGCAATGGGTAAACGGAGGAATGTCGAATTAATAATATCTATTACTTCTAAATTCTTACGCATAGAGAAGTTTTCAAGATATTACCTAGTATCCAGTATTCCCATGGATCATAAAAGACTATAAATCAGACATCCTAGATTTAAATGACATTAATATATACAGAGATCTTTCAAAACCAATAGGCGCATTAAATGAAAAGAGACTGAAAGAATTTATCATTAGATATAATGAGTGCCCAGAGGGTGAAAAATATCTTTATGGCACTCATTATAGTTGTCCAGGCTACGTTATAGGGTTTCTTGTGAGATAGCATCCTTAGTGGATGATAAAGTTTCAAGGTGGAAAGTACGACAATCCCAATAGACTATTCAAAGGTATTAATAAAGAATGGGATAGTGTGAACACTAATCCAGGAAATGTTAAGGAACTTATCCCTGAGTTTTTCATGGATAACCCAGATTTTCTAGTAAATAAATAAAAGTTGGATTTCGGAGTAAGAAGCAATGGCAAGAGAGTGGATAATGCAAAACTTCCAAGCTGGGCACATTCAGCTGATGATTTCCTAAAGAAGAATAGAGCTGCTCTTGAAAGTGACTACGTGTCAAACAATATTCATCTATGGATTGACTTGATCTTCGGATGTAAGTAGAAATCAATTGATGATTTCAATGTTTTCCATCCTTTGACATACGAAGGTCATGTAGATTTTGAGAAGCTTTAAGATCCAGTATAAAGACTAGCCTATGAAGTCTAGATTACAGAATTTGGCTAGACACCGAGACAGCTATTCAGATTGCCCCATCCTTAGAAATATTCAAAGGTTATCCCAAAATCCTTATGTGCTACTCTTGAATCAATTCAATCTACAGCTAACGCCGTTATGAAAGATCATGAAGAATAAAAACTTGAAGATAAATTTAAGTAAATACTAGAAGATGAGACTAGAGAGAGTGCAAGTGAAACATCATTTCAAACAAATAAGAACTCATAGAAAGAAGATTCAAAGAAGCAAGAATCAATACAAACATCTGACACAAAATCGTCAGCATTTAAAGATCTTTCAAATTTTAAGTTTCAAACTTACGATAAAGTTCATAAGGATGTGATCACTTCAATGCATCTGATTAATGATGATGAAAGCAATAACTAGAAATTAGTTACAACTTCAATGGATGGATTTATAAAGATGATTGATGTCAGAGATGGGTAGACTAAGAAGGCATTCTTTGTATGTCAGAGTGGAATTAACACTGCTACTTCTCTGAGTTCTCAAGATTCCTTTGCAGTAATTAACTTATAACTTTATTTTATTCAATAGCTTGCTGCACAAAACCACAATATTTTTGTCTTCAGTTTCTTAACAGGAACTACTATCACTAATTTCTATGCTCATGATGATATAATCAATAAAGTGCTCTTTGCAAATGTAAATTTGACTAAAGATATATTTATAAATATAGGATAAATTGATTTCTTGCTCAAGTGACCAGACCCTTAGAATTTGGGATCTCAAAGGTTCAAATTTCTCCTCACCTACTATCCTCTATGATCATGAAGAGGAAATAGTATCAGCTTCTGTTCACTAGAATTTATTAGCTTCTATGGACTTAGAAGGCACAATCATTGTTAGGGACATGAGAAATCTAGAAGTCATTACAAACATCAGACAGAGCAAGCAGTACGAATCAGGGCAAGTTCTATTTAATACATAGATGAAAAACGAAATAATAGTATTTTTCAATAATGAACTTGAGATGTACGATACTGATGGTAGATTGATTCAGAGCAAAGAATTAGACTTTAATGTGACTCATGCTGCTCAAGATCAAGACTCTGTGGTTCTTACTTATGATAATGGAACTTTGGCGGTGTATGATTGGAATTCTGATAAATTAGTTGATGAAAAGGAAGATATTGCCAACATCAAATCTCTTGCAATAAGCTCAGACAAAGTCCCTCAAAATGAGAAAATGTTAGCGATTGGAGGCGACAAAGGAGATTTAACTCTACTGAGACAAAAATGAAGAATAACATAAATCAAATGAACTTTGTAACCTGAATGCTTGATTACAATAATATAAATAAATATTTATCAAGTTTAAATCATCAGAAATTGCTTGCAAATTAACTTAGCGGGGTTTTGGGGTTTTGGGGAGATCGG